GGTGGGCTGGAGTGGAAACGGCGGGCGTAACTAAGTGGCTCGGAGCATGTTTAGCATTTGACTCCTTATGCAGAATCTCCTTATATACCTTGCACACAGCGTTCTCTTCTTATTTCCCGCTCTAAATTTACCCCTTGAAATACCGCCATGCGGCCGAGATTCGCCTCTCCATATCATTTCAAAACGCGCCGTAACACACCATTAACATTAAACGAACTCTTTTCTCTTTTTTTTTTCTAACAACTCACTCGCGAAAGATTAAATTGCATCTTCTACCGTTCCCTCCCCCCTCCTCCCTCTCGCGCGCAGCGCACACACGTGAGTGCGGCTTTTTCTCGCGGGGCGCCGCGTCCATAATTTTAGTTGGAATGAAAAATTATGGACCCGGCAAATTAATGAATGTTAAACACGTCGATGTTGGGTAAACTCGGCCAATTTCGCGTCTCCTCCAACCTCCCCTAATTACGCCGCTGGGAGGACGTGGAAAGTTTAAATCGTCCGGGGGGGAAACGGCGGCACGCAAGGCATAACGTAAGAATCGGCGCTGCGCGATTACACGGACCCACCTACTGACAGATTGCCTGCGTAGCCCCGGCACCTGCTGTTCCATTTTTCCCGCCGCGATTCGCGCCGGGAACTATCATTTTCTTAACGATACCGAACGTTGTACGCCGGGGATAGAGCGTTAGAGAGACGACCCTCCGCCGAGCGTCGATATTTCGGATACGTAGGGGCTCGAGGGTCAATTCACGGGACACGCTGCTGCTCCGTCGACCCTGTGATATTATCGGATAAGAGCGGGCTATGATGCAGGCGAATAGATAGTCAAATAGCAGATGGGGGGAAAATATCGGTGGTTTGCCATCCATTAGGGTAACGTTCCAGTTCCGAGTAGCGTTCTGCTCCCATCTATTTCGAATAAAGAAAAGAGCTCAGTGCCTTCTCTGTTTTATCAAGACCGGATTGGTATTCGAATTTCCGTAATGTTTCTATTTTTCTAACATAGTGTTTCTTCTGTTTCAGACGTTGGCTCTTTGGCTCCGGCGACTATCTGGGATACTCTGCCGCGCTTCCCATCACCACGGTTCGTAATCCACTCTTTCATTTTTTAACTTGGTAACAAGATAGTGATTGGTAACGTTTGGATAAAGTACCGATAAGATCGGACCTCCGCTCTTTTTTTCAAATATGTTTATATTTACATATTTTGATGCGCTGATTATAGATACTAAAAATGAACATACAAACTAGATACTGTCGTATACAATAGATAATGTCGTGAATCAAGACCGATATGTATCCAACAATTCAATTAGAAAAGGCCATCTTTTAATAAAATATTTATTTGTATTAAATTTGTTTGCATTATATTTTTATTAAATAAGAATTAAAAATTTGTCTCGTCGTATTATTACTTCCTTTATTTCTTTCGACAAAATTTTATGCTCGATTGTTTGGATGTAACATTTTAATATCAAAAATAATTAAGTATCTAATTTGTATAAATATTCATTTTAGTTGACGCCATTTGATGATATCATTACTTTTGTAGAGAAGATACTTTTGTAGAGAAGATACTTTTGTAGAGAAAATAAAAATGTTTTTTTTCTAATAAAATATAATATCCAAATAATTAAATTATACAATGCTTGATTGGACGATGCTTATACGTGGCATCTTTTTTTTATCTTTTTTAAAAAAGGTTATTTTTTTTAAGGTGATATCACAAATTTTGTAGTAAATATTTCGTAATATTTGTAACAACCCTAACTTCTAACAGCACATGATATTTCGTACATCCCTAGAATGTGAAAATAGATGTGTACGTACGTAGGTGTGTGTATGCATCTGATAATAGTTTTGATGTAAGCAAAATAACTCTATTAGAAGAATTCTATTAGAAGTTACAAAAACTCAAGCAGGCGTATACGTATAGAATCATTTTTAAACTCAACAGACTTATTTTTATAGCATGAAAATCTGAATAGTTGCAATATAATTGTGAAGAGTATCTAATTTTAAGAGTATCTAGTTTTAATGTAAGCAAAATAACTCAAGAATTCTATTAGAAGTTACAAAAACTCAAGCAGGCGTATACATATAGAATCATTTTTTAACTCAACAGATTTATTTTTATAGCATGAAAATTTGAATGGTTGCAACATAATTGTGAAGAGTATCTAAAAAGCGGAATTGATGTACTAGTGATACGGCCTAATATATTTCCTCTAAAGTATCTTTATAAGTTCGGTTTACGCGCGCTCGATGAGCGTAACGTCGGAACTCTGGAAGTAGGTGACGTCAGTCACGTCTGCAGCGCCAATGCCATGTTACGACAAAAATGTGAAATGGACATGGTCGACCAAGACGACGACCGGGACGACGTTCCTAACATCGGATTTTGACACATTCACTTTTGCTTTGCAATATCTCCACTCATGGGGCACATAGGAGTAAAATAAAAACGCTTTAATTATACAAATCAAACCCAAGCTATCGATTGAACGCACTTAGAAGTTCATCGAATCAGCCGTTGTTGAGATCCGAAAATCTGAGGGCCTGTCAACTCGCGTACTCGCGTACTCGCGTAAACTACGCGCGCGCGTTCTAGCTACGCTTATACTTGGCGCGAGACACTACCATGTCATTTTTATGGCAAAAACCACCGAAAACCCATAAAAATTATGGTCTTTAATATTTGTATAAATATAGAATTAGAATTAGCTTTATTATCCCCCTTAGGGTTACAATCTTCTTACAGACTTGCACCTAAACTTATTCTAACTTATCCTACATGTCCTACATCTTAACATTATTTATATAAATATATTTATAAATATATATTTATATAAGATGACACTACTGTGAATTGCATTGACATAAAGCGGTATTCTTTCGCTGTGGGTTACAATCCACTCTTGAAAAATCAATCGGTGGGATTTTTACTGCAAATCGGTGACTATTCACTGTTTTCAGCGATTGCCTTTTAGAGAGTAAAATTCACCATCGTGAATTTTATGACGGTCGAGGGCGAATTAAACGTTACATCTAGTGAGATCTCGAGATATTTTATGTGCCAAATATTAATATCGATATTCCGACTCGGATGATGGGCGATAACCGATAGCCGTTCCCGGTGTTGAGCATCGATAGCCAACTCCGTGACACGTCCTTCCTTTCGATTCTATCGAGTGCCTGCCTCCCGCGGGATAGCCGCAAGCATCTCTCTCTCGTTGCAACCCGATTCCCTCCTAAATAATAATGTCTAGACGTCTTTACGTCGTCTTCGCGCGACGAATAGCTCTCGTGGTGAGAATAAAATTGGTCGTTTACGATAAACCCTGATCCTCCCCCTGGGCTCTCCCCCAGCGCGCGCCCTCTTCCTGCCGCGCGTGTATCGCCGTTCCCAGAAACAAGCGATTCGTTATTCCTCCGAATGAAATGCGAGGAGAATTTACGGTTTTGTGCGACGACAGAAGCCGATAAAGGGAGGGAGAGGGTGGACTTTTAAGTAGGTGCCTTTTTCGACGAACTGTTTAACGCGCGCGGCCGAATAGGCATGTAACGCGAACGAGGCGGTCGTTACTCGATTGCATGCATAAGGTGTCCCTAATGGCACTTCGGTACCATTAAAGCGCCACGTGATAAAAGGTCCGGAGTAGAATTTCTTAAACGTATTTTCTGTATTGAATTTCTAAAGGAGACTAAAAGTAACGAATGGCATTTCTTTTTTTTATCTCGAATAAAGCGATATCTTCAGTGTCGCGAGAGGCAACGAAAGTAAGAACGAAACGTCGGATTATGAGAGCACTTCTGGATTAAGTTGAAGCGAACTTTGTCGCGACGATAATTTTATTTGACAACTTGACTGTTTTCTTGACCATATCCGGCATTTTTAATAATACAGAAAATTTATCGCGAAAAACATTACCTCTGCCAGGATTTGAACCTGGACCGCCTTTCTCTCTAGGCGGGCGTCTCACCAATTCGACCACCGAGGCAAATTTTATCCGGGGCTCGCTGATCAAGAAATGGAAATTGAGAAATAGGAAAAGCGATGACATCGATAAATGATATCCGACGAACGAGGGTACCTCTCGATATTTTCTTCGCGGGAAAAGTAATCAAGAGAGTATCGCGGAGTAGAGGGTAGAAGTACAGAATACCGATTCTATCTTCGCTTCGTAAAACTAGATATTTAATTTTACGAGTGGCGTCTACTATACACGTTCACGATTCGAATCCCACGTGCGTCCCAATGATACAAACGCAGGTGTTATTAACCGTCGGCCAAACTTAGAAATTTCCCCGAAAGGAGCGACGATCGTCCCACCGTTGCCTCCACGATATCTACCTCCATCTTCTCTCCTGTGGAATACTTTTTGATAGGTCTGGGACACCCTGTATATGCCGTATAACCGGAGCGACGGCCGCGTACACGTACAACGTCTGTGCGTAGGGCCTGCCTTCCGCTTTCTGATTGGCCATCGTGGCTGCCATCGATTTTTCTCATGTGTATGTATCAAGATATGTAAATATGGCTTATGCTATACGCGATGCCACGGCATTGTATCGCCGTCTTGGTGCGTGCGGGAGAGGATGGTGAATTAGAGGTGTGGGGGATAACGTGTTCATCGTCCCGACGAAACGTATTTGTCCGACGCGGCTCGTTTATATTTAAATGAACGGTTGATTTTATATTGTACCACCTTGCGCACCTCTTTCTGGGCTTCTCCCGGATGCATCCTGCGGTGCGATCTCGATATATATCGAATACAAAGAGCGACTACTGGTCCTCGGAATTTTAACGCGGCGAGAGAGAGAGAGAGAGAGAACATTTTCAGTCGCGCGCGAGAATGGACACAGGAGTATTGTGTCCTCGGGAGAGCTACGCTCTCTTTTTTTGTTAGCGTTTCGATTCACGATAAAACCCAGAGCTCGGAAAGTCGAGCTAAACATTTAAATATTGAACGGTCATTCTACGCGCCCGTTGGGAAGTAACTATCGCGGGTTATTTTCAAAATTAACTCGCAGCACGCATACAAATCCACTTTGGCGAGCGATTTCTTTTATTCCATTTTAAATAAAATATACAGTTTATCATCGCCGTAGCGCTTTGAACAGTTTGCAATTATTATTATCAATTTATTGTAGGACGAATTGTTGACGAGAATTGGATAAATTATTAAAGAATCGCGTTGTGCCAACTATAATAGATTTCAGTTTAATTTTAATGAAATTTAAACTGTCGGCGGAAACTTTCTGTATTTCCTCTCGCTGCGCCGCTATCTGCGCGGTCCATTATTTACCCTTTAGTCGCTCGCAGAGTTGCTACGTAAGTGAGCAAAGCCAAGCTCGCACTCCAATGTGAGGAGGAAGGTAATTAAAAACGAGTGTAAAGACCGAGGGTTGATGTAGGTGTTAAAAAATGGCCCTTTACGCCACGTTAAAAAATTGCCGCTCTAGAGGGCTAAACTTTCGAATTGACGTGTAGCCTTTCGAGCGTGTTTAACGCGCCGCTGTGCTCGCGAATGCGATTGTCAAAGACAATTGCGCCCGCGGATGAGAACGGCGAGGATTGATTTATCGGCGACATTACAATTCGAGAAATTATTTGACTCTCGGGCGTGTGCAGGGGTTGTCGGTACGCCAGGCGTCGTGGAAGTTGCGTGTCGAGATAGATGGGAAATTTATCAGAAGATTCAATTGTAGGAGGCGGGTGTCGTTGATCGGGCTATCAATTTTAAACGCAATCCGCGCGGCGCGATACACATTCGAGAAATCGAATTCGAAACTGCCAACTTTAACCCAATATTTACACCGCCGTCCATTTATTAACGTCTCTTTAAATTGCGCATCCATTATGGATTCCTCTGTGGCGATATTCCCGGTATTTTTCGAGCTAATATCTCGCTGGTTGAGGAATGTTGTTTTAATCACGCGATATGACGAAAATCTTCCGGCTTGATCAGGAATTAAAGTTTTTCGATACGAAGTCGCGACGCTACACGAATTGTAGGAAACGACACGAGTGCGGACAAAATAATTGCGAATTAAAGTCGCGGTGTTTGTACGGCTGGAATT